ATCGAATTGATATATCTGGGAAAAGTTAATGCACTATGTAAACCGGGGCAAGAGCAGGTCCGTAGTTAAACGAGAAAAACGTCGTCCGGCGCTACATTGTGATATTGGATATAAGTACCGACATAAATAGCGAAGAGTGAGAACGTACCGATTCAGAGGAATATGAATATTGGAATAAACTATAACGTCAGTATCATCATCGCAGTCCAGTTCAGCAAAATGGCCATCGTCGTTAAGATCCGAAAAAGTTGTCTGTGGAGTGATCAAAAACGATTGATGCTTGGGAGTAAAACTGTTCGTAGTAAGTGATTCATTGTCCGGTAGAGTACCCGAAGGTGGGTATACGCAAATTCCGACTTCCAATGAGCTATCCGGTCTGAATTCCGAAAGGTGAGCATTAGACGTGGATAGTGATTGGGTGGAAGTTGGGATGACGGAATTAGGGGACGAACCATCAACAGGTTCATCAGGCCAGTATATTCCCATTGAATTATCATTAGAGCAGCTTTCACACGGAGTATCGGAGCTATGAGTGGAGTTGGAGCAGTCGACGCTTAATCCAACGAGCCGGTTTATATCAAAAGTTAAATCAGAGCAAGACGACTCCATTCCAATCTCGGTTTCGGCGCATTCAGTCTCCCACTCATCCTCTTCCGGAATACATGGTGGGGGACTGGGGCCCTTAGTGTAAGACCCCAAAGATGTCGGGGACTTTGAAGAGGCTCGATAATACATCAAGGGAAGAGCTGATCCAAATGGCCTCTGAATACTAAATAGCTTCCTTCGTTGGTTACGCCGGCTAGCCAGATCATACACAAACTTTACTTGTATTACAGACGTATCTCGGGTAGGTGCAGATTGTTTATTCTGCTGTTCTCCGGTCTGACCTGTTGGCTGAGCTGGTGCGGAAGGAAGCGCACGAGCCGCTAAGTGTGGAAGTAAAGATCCAAACTGCGGTCGACGGATTATATTATTATGTGTCCCAGAATAAGCGACAGACAGATCGATGAGGTTGGAGTTAGAGTCGTTGACATTTACTGCTGACATCACCCGAGCAGACAATGCACACAGTTCCGCTGTGAACTGACTGACCGCAGACGGTGAAGTGAACACGGTAAGTTCCGCGTGCCATCACAAAACGCAAATCGAACCACGTGACGGAATGACTCAAATAAACGGTGAAAATTGATTGTTGAACAAACGAACCAATGCCAGCGAATAGCGAATATACACGCTAGCAAATCCGTGCATGGCAAAAGTAACGGCATTTGGTGCGGCATGTGGCAAGCAACACGAGAAACCGATGATGTACATACGGCAAATGGAAATCGAAATGAAGAAAGGGGGCCAGGTGAGGTGCAATTATGCGGACCTGGATGTGCGTCAATTCATTCAGCTCGATCACGCTCCCACCGGCACTAACGCACATGTGATTGGCTAAAAGTGTGTGAAATTCGTGACTATATCATAACAAACGTCACGCCCAACCCGCTGACTAAATTCAACCCATCTGAGAGTTTAGAAAACAATCAAACAAGGGGAATGAGGATTGCGACAGTTAATGCGCAAATGAACTTAGAAGTGCAAAAAACACAAGGAGTCCAGAAAGTAGACTAAAAGTCAAATAAGAAGTCATGGAGTTTTATGTGGTCTTAACCACTTAGGCGTAAACTTAGGTAAAACAAAGAAACAAAGGGAGCACAAACAGCGACCACACCAGCAGCGATGCCCATAAGGCATAGGCCTCGTCGTGTTGGGAATACATCACAATACTGTTCATAGTCAGCATGTTATTGGAGTCGCAAGTCCCATGAGATATGACTAACTGTATGCTAATGAAGATGGGCAACAATAGTCAATATGTAACCACAGAAGAAACAGTCTAATATACGTCGCCTCCAAATGATTGACATCTATTCTACTCTGCAGGCTAACACCGATTCCAAAAACTACACACCCGTGAGGAACAGACTGGTTACGGCCCCGGTCGAGGGTGCGTGAACCACATGCTTACACTATCCCAACTCCTCGAGCAGCGTCAACTTTGCGCAAGCCCAGCGTTGTCAGCTTATTGGACATCCAATCGGCTTGCTTTTTGGCGTTGTCTACAAAAGAACGTGACCCGAAAAGTATACCGCCATCCTTCGAACTTTATACAGCAATGTCGCTGGCAGAAAATGGGCGACGGTAAGCTCTCCTCATTTTTCGACGTCACTAACGATGTGCAACAGGGATACTCCATGTCCCCGATTCACCTCAACTTTGCGATTAAAGATGTCCTATTAGGCACTCTAAAAGGTCACCAGGGTTCAAGCGTAGAGCTTCTTCCAGACAACCACGCGACTGACTTGGACAATGCTGGTGATAGTGCAACGCTCAGGGACGTAATTCATCATCATTACACATCTCAGCTAAGCGTGGAAAACACCTCAGCTACTATGCCGCAATAACACAACTACAGGTGCATGCCAGCTGAGCTACCAGTAACGGATGTACATCCTTCCGGAAAGCTACCAGCCGGCTATTGTGCATCAAAAAATTATTATGTAAAATTTATATTATGTTAAAAAAATGAGGTCGCGGTTGGAGGAAGAGGCTAAGAGGGATGGGGAGGGACAAAGAAACTCACAATACAAACCCCACTGAGGTCAGCTCCTAGCCATATCAGCAAGTGTATCCAGCCAAACATGTTCATCGTTTTTCGGACGCCAATCAGGGAGCCGAAACGCTCCAACTGAGATCAACGTCGAAGTAAGTGGTTTCATTGCTCTCGACCAAGTCATCGCTTGACCACCTCTCCGCTTGTTCCATTCACACCCCCGGCGCGCAAACATCACACGTCGAGGGAGTCGGTGAGCTGGCATGCGCAACACGTGGTCCAGCCATCGGAGCTTGATGCGAGAAATAAGGGTGCTGAGGGATTCATTCCCTCTTTATGCGCCATGAATACGGCGTCGAACATGTTCGTTATATCACGCGGTGTTCCTACCAGAAGTAAGCCAAGCTGCGAAGGCACCGATGGCCGAACGTAACTATCCTCTTTATATCTGCTGATCTAATGGGCCAGGTTTCAAACTGTAAATTAGAGTTAAACGGACGATTGCATTGTACACTCTACCCATCAGAGAGAGAGTGGTCGCGCTGGCACCATAGATTGCAATCATTAGCAAAAGTGCCTCGAGCGTTTGCTATACGATTCCTGATCTCGTCTCGATCCTAAGAGCGCTGATACAAGTTCTCAGGTAGTTGAGTTTTTGAACGACTTCCAGCTGATCCCCACCAAGGGTCAGCGCATGACGCGATCCCTACTAATCTTGGAGGAAAGCTTTGCACTTCGAGAGTGTAAGGATAGCCCGAAACCGCTGACAACTAGTGGTAATCTGTCCATTGTCGCTTGGCATGTTTGGGAGCTGTCACAAATGAGGGTAATACCGTCAGCATACTCGTTAAGAAGTCGTTCGCCTGGGAGCAGATCCACACCTTCTGAGTCGTGTCCCGTGAACGGGAACATAACTTCGTCAACAGCGAAGCTGAAGAGGTAAGGTGAAAGTGGGCATCCTTGCCTCACACCACTGGAGATATTGAAGGGCGGCGCCAGCTCGCAGTAAACCCTCGCTTTGCCCGAACTACGCGCGTGTATAACACTCCGATAATAGTTACATATTTCTCAGGCACACCATTGCTGAGTAGACAATCCCAAACGGCACATCGATCTACTGAATCGAAGGCATCTTTGATATCGAGAAACAGGACAACGGTGGGCCGCCAATATATGTGACGGCACTCCAGCAACTGACGCAGAGTGGAGATGTGGTAGATGTAGCCTCGACCTCGACGAACCCCAGCTTGCTCTTCACTAATATGGTTTTCACGAGTGAAGATCAGTCTATGAAGGATGACAGAGGCAAGCAGTTTGCTCGGTGACGACACACAGATTATGCAGGTCATCATAAACCGCGTGACAGCTGAAGCCACTAAATAGGGATTGACTTTCGCCCCATCGAAATTCAAAGTCCCACTCTAAAATTGGCAACCAGCCGCCCCAGTGCTAAATCTTGAAGGTGCGCAACTTGAAGAAGCTGACAGATTTAGCTACGTTGGGAGCTGCATTTCTGCTGATGGCACCCTTGGGAGGGCAATTTCTCTCCGTACTGCCAAAGTGTGATCAACTTTTGCTAATCTGGGGTATCTGTGGCGTCATCGTAACGTTACGTTTTAGGTAAAAGACAGGGTCCACAATTCATTGGTTCGTGCGGAAGTGAGTCTTTGCCGATCCGTGCAAATCAATTGCATCGGATTTTGGACTTTGACAACGGTTGTCTGCGGAGAGGCAGCTCGTGTGTGGTGGGAACACCTCGTTTGCAACGAGGATGTTAGAGGTGGCGCCTCGGGTAATACAAGCCTCTCGACAAGCTAATACTGCTGCGCCAACTGAGATGGCTGGGTAATGTTCAACGTATGCCGTGCGAGTGTTTCCCTGGGTGCGCTCTATTCATCAGCCTAGAGCCGCACTGGAAGAAATCGCACAGTGGGCAACCTTTCACACGACGAGAAAACGTCAAGGCGCTGACTTCCAGTCTATTGTGGTTGTTGGCTGGGGAGTCAACGATGAAGAACATCGCTGGTTGCAGAGTTTTGAGGACATGGCGCGCAACAGGGGAAGATACAGTCATACCGTGGTAGATTTTGTCCCACTGCGGTAGAAGCAGGTCAGAAAGGAATGAAGCAATATTTGAGGACACCAAAAAGTATAAAATATCACGCACAAAATCACCACGCCATTTATGTGCGAACCTCAGGGAGTTGGTTGTCAATTCAATGCAAGTGATGCGAATATACGCAGCAGGCCAAAGCTACCTTAATAAAAACAGTTCGCAATAAGAGTCAAGCCAAAAATGTCATACCAATGGAAATAAAACAGCCGATGCAAGCACACTTTTGGGCATCAATAATACCAGAAAACAAGGCAGAACAATAGACTGCACATTAGCTGCAAGTACCTGCTCTTAGTACAACTTCTTGGTGAACTTTCTAAATTGGCAGATATTTCATTCAATTCTCGCGCCAGGCTTGACATCGTGTAAATCATAGGGGGACCATCCACAACGCCATCCAACAACGGCTTCGCATCACATGGTTCGTTGTAGATCGCACAATGATTGATTTGTTCAAATGAAGTGAACGGAATTCGTTGAGAGTTAATGCAAGCAGCCTTGGCTGGTTCACAATTCGGAGAGTGCCCAGGATAGCCCCAAGTTGTGAGACGAGTGGTTGGTAAAGTGGAATATGATGAACTACGTCCGTCTGATACTTCGGAAATGCCATCTGGAGAGCGATTAGTAATGAAGTTATTTCCAGTCCTCAGATTTTCGATGATCACATCCGCGAAATGCGAAAGGGATTCTTCGTATTCTTCTTCAACTACGAGCTATGAAAGTCAGATCGAAGGTGCAAAAATTAATAAAAGTGCATCAACTGATAAAATACAATGATTTGGCCTCGGTGAACATGATGAGGGCATTACAATTGCGTTATATAGGACAGGTACTCAAGGCACAAATAAAAACCCACACAAACATGAGCTCTTACCTCGTGAGTTTGATTTGCTTCAATGCCATGGCCCAGTATTGGCGTGTAGTTAGAAACAGGACATAAAGATGGGACGGTAGCATGGGTCGAAGAAGTAGTGGATGACACATTAGTTTCTCGTGATCCACCAGAGCACAAATGAGCAGTTGTCTTTGCGATATGGTTGGATGCAGGTTCAAAGTCCTAAACAATGAAAGAACAGCAATGCAGAAGGGTTGGTTCTAGGACAATGAATAACACGCAATCTTAACCACGAAAGCTCATCACTTAAAGTAGGATGGTGGTCGTTAAGTCAATGCCTTTCTTTGAATAGGATGCAAGCCTCCGTATAACGCTCCAGCCAAAAGCATAAAACTTCAAAGTCGGTTCGACAGTTAGAGAAATGTAAGCATTTTGCTACACACATTTATCAGAATGAATCAAGGGAGGCAGAATTTGAGTAAAGAATTCTTTTCGGTAATTCTCATTAGACTCAAACATTAAATGATGATGAGAAAGTGCTAAATAGGCCGGATTGGGCTGCATATTGAACAGAATGTTTAATTTAACAGGAACAAATCAATAAATCACGGGGTCATTGAAAGTCGCAAGTATGTACAGGGGAATTTTTGGATTCCTGAGGATCAGCATTCCCCGTGATTCAGTCGAACACACATTAACGTATAAAACACCGTAGCGTCAGGGACAAACAGGGATAAGCAGGAGAAGCAGAGTATCAACCAACCCGAAAGAAAACGCAAGTACGGTAATTGCCTCTATCTTCCATGCCCAAGGATTCCGCAAACGGCTCTTATCCATCGTCGAGGCTATGTACATTCACCATCTGAAGCCGGAATTATGTATCCAAAAAACGATTTATACGGCCGATACTACTACCTTGGCCAACGGACACCGTTACTTAGTTATTTGGCTGTTATCTTACCTACTTACTTACATTGCACTACTGAGCCTTGTGTATACATGTTTATTTAGTTTACTTGGTCTACCATCTCTATCTCTGTCGCAAGTTAGCGATTTTGGTCATTCAAACAATCCAGAAGTCAATCCCATCCCCAGTTGACGCTATCTCCACAATCACTGTTATGTAAACGCTTGGGTCCGATGAGAGTTACCGAAAAGAATTCTTTACCCTGAAATGATTTCTGATATTGATTCATATTAATGAAATGGGAATCTTTGCATTGCTGAAGATCAGCGTTGCCCGTGATCCATTGAATATCAGGTATATATATATATATATATATATATATATATATATATATATATATATATATATATATATATGCAAAAGTCTGTTAACAGACATAATGCCATCAGAAACCATGGGATTCAAACGAAGGTACAGAAACAGTAAAATAAAACACAACACAACAATGTCCATGGTTTCCTCAGAGGGCGAGATACTACCCGGTTGCCCAAGCCGAAGTAGGGTGTTGACTTAGGGGACACCACCCCGAGCCTTTGGCTGAATAGCCTGCCCGCAAGGCAGCGGAGCGAATTCAGGGAATCGCGCCCATTGGGAGCCGGTGACTGATTGCTCAGTTCATACGCCTTTTGTTTGTTCCTTTGTCAAACAGGGGCACAATGCTCCCCAGAAGTACAGCATAAGGTTGCTGGAATACAATGCTTCGCCAGAATGAAGCAAGGGGCAGTGACTTTATTTAGTGGCGAGTCACGTCCGCCACGTCACAGTGTTGTTAAACGGACATATGTGGCTTTTTATAGGGAGAACGCTTGCCAGGCGAAAACCCACCACGTCCTGGAACACTGCCGCCGAACCATTTGCTGGAACGGGAAAATCCCGAACCAGCTGAATATCAGGTAGTGTTTGCGTCGCTAATGAATGAAGAGAGCCCGGAATTTGTAATGAGACGGAGAATGCGTACTGCAGACAATTGATCAGCCATCTTACCATGCTAATGAAGAGACGTCAAAAACGGTGGCACAAAAGATGCTACGTAAGAAGAACGGAGTAAACAATCCCTAATGTACGACGTGTAGTCGATTGCTTCTGGAGAGCAAGCATAAGGTCACCTGTTCGAATCCGCGTAGGAGTGGGCGTCCTCGCAGTATACTCAGTCCACGCGCGACTGATGGTGGTCGCGAGGCAGCGAAGCGCTGTTACAACGTACAGCTGGCGAGTTATTGATTGATTTTTATTCAAAGTTGCTTCGCTCACTACTACCATACAATTCGCAAATATCTCAGAGGCAAATGCTGTCGATATGATGGACTTAGCGTAGTAGCACATTCGGTCTTGTGCGCCTCAGCAAACTTAGCTACGAGAGGGCAACAGCAAAGAGTTAAAGGGTAAGTGTCACCTGTTTACCTTCACTAACCCAGACCAATGATGCGACAGATAAAATCTTGGGATCCCATACAAAAAAGACATCCGATTTTCGGAGTGATTTCATCAACAGTGTCTGCGTCGGCTTCTGTGCATCCGTTAGTGCGACAGAGTTCTTGACAAAGAAGTGCTGCACCGATGTGGCATGAATGGAGTGAACTGCGTACTTCAACTGCGACATATAAAGCAGTTCGGGCACGTTAGCCGTATGGATTCGAGGTGGATACCGAAACACTTGCTATATGGCTAAGTTAGTGCAAGAAAGAGGAACGTGGGCAAACCGAAGTTGCGTTGTCAATGCAAGATCGAGTTTATCAAGAACTGATGTTGACTGTAGGTGTTGAGAAGGAATGAAAGGGATCTCCGCCATAGGCATGATCACATCAAAAATGTCGTTTCACATAAGCACCAGAAATAAATGTTGCATTAGGGAGAAAAACGCCGGTTAAGGAAGCGACAAGCAGAGATGGAGCCTAGCCCATCGACACCAAGCGCATGGTGCTGTGGCCCATGCGATCGTGTGTGCCACAGCCAAGCCGATCTTGTCAATCACTAATGTGGCCAAAAGGGGCTAACGTCGAAGAGGCGATGAATAAGTTAAACAGGTAAACATCAGCATTCGGTTAGTGTGTTGTTTCCGATTCGTTACTAACCCAGGCCAATAAGGGCCTTCATGTGGTACGTGTGCTGCATCGTTACAGTTGGTCTGTACGTGTACCTGTGTGTTGAGTTACTTGCAGTTCAAGAGTTGGTTGTGGATTGATATCCCCGGTGTGGTGCGCTTGATGCTTATGTTGACAAGGTACCTACTTGTTGAAAAACCGCTACGTCGATTATACTGACTCCGGGAAACAGACAACCGTTGCTTGGGAAGACGAGATACACGGTCCTCGCAACCGTGTTAGGCACAGTGAGTGCTTCCATCCGGTGTGGAATGGGCTACGCCAGCCAGCAGCTTGTGTACGTCTGGAAGGTAAGTTTGCCACTGTTCCAATTAATGGATGATGCGCAGGTTGAAGGATTGTGGGCCGGTTCCGAATCAACTGTGGCTCCCATCTACGTGCCTCCAGATCTTATTCCTTCGGATTACACTGGATATGAGGTATGTGGATAGAGCTGCGTGTGATGCAGCACAAGCCATTCATGGTTCCTTTGTAGGCGCAGACATGCTGCGACCGCTCGCAGACTTAGTGACAGTCAATTCCGGATCGAAATATCGCCAGCCATATATAATCGTGAAGGGAAATTTTATCCGCAGTTAGCTGAGTGACCATAGACAGTGGTGGCATAAGCCCCAGCAGAGATGAAGGAAACCTTCAATTAGAGCCGCGAAAACTAAGACTGCCTGAGCTAGTTTCCGCGAAGAGGCCGTTGGAGAATGCTGGTGGTTCATTTCCCCATTTTTCTGACAACCGCGTGAGGCTAGAAATAAGTTTCTTCGGATCTGTAAAACCGATGGGAGCGAAATGTTCAAGCTACAGTCAGTAATGGTATCCATCTCAGTAGTATTATCGTTGTCAATTCGCTTATAGGAATTATACTGCAATCGCTAGTCGGTTCTCCAGAGAAGCGAAGCGACAAAAGTCAGGTACATTTTTCATCCGAGTGAATGAACTGTGGTTCATCTGTGTAACCACAACCACTAAATTGGATATCGGTGCACAAGTGAACACTCAGTTGAAGGACTAGCAACCAACTACTGAAGGAGAGGAACTGGGAGCAGGTGATCAGTTCACCAGTCCCGGTGGCTGGATTGGCAGCAATTGGCGCGGAGCCGCTGAAATAAGTACACGTAGTGGAAGCCAGTAATGAATCGCTCAAACCTCTAGAATAGGCAGATAGTCCCATCGATCCGAAGGGTTGCGTAAATGGGATCAAAGTACGGGTCATTCCCCTTCGGTTTCATGGCCCAATGCACCCACGGAGCACTGTTCATCAGACTGCATAACAGTGTCTGCGAAGAGAACGCGCGGTGGACAAATAAGCTAGTTCAGTAAAGCAACAAATAACGTCGGATGAGTTGTGTTAACATGAGCACGTGTCAAGAAAGCTCGCTCATCGCCTAACTTTGTTCGCCAGATTTGAGATAGCGTAAAGTGGGATGGGGTATAAAGTTAATATGCTAGCGGGGAAAAAACTGGGCACTATTGGTCCACGTTCTCTGATGACGTATACATAGCCTTTCCGGAGTGTCGAGTAATGTTTCCCGATTGGCACTCGCTTGGGTCCGCGCTAACGATCCACAGTACACAGCCTGAATGGGCAAACAGCCTTGCTGTGCTGGTGAGCGGTTTCTGCTGGTGACACTACTAGAAGGATCTCTTCGCATGACCAAAGACCACTCAGCGTTAGCAGTCGGAAACATACGTGTTGGCGTTGGGCCTCTCTAGTTAGGGTGTTGGGTCCACAAAGCCGCAGTTGGAGCAGTGCTGGTGTAAGAAAGCGGGTCTTGGACAATATCGTGGACAAACTGAACCGATTTTCTTTCTTTGAAGATGGATATATGAAAAAAATCGTTTGTGTGTGATAGACCCACCAAGTTTGTCAAGATGAAGTTGGAGATTGTGTCTCCGGGAATATGAGTTTTCCTATAAACGTGATTGTTTTATGCACCAATTGTGATGGTTCGAGCACTTATGCCATACAAGCGTTAACCAGCGCACACCATTCGTTGATAGTGATGGGCTGGAGAAGCATTTTATCTGGCGACAGAAGATGAAATCGTCAATTTCTGTCTAACCAACGTTGATGCCACACATTTATTTGGTCGGGGACTAAAAGAGTGGGACGCCAAAGACTCAACACGATTAAATATAAGGCGTGAAAATAAACTTCGTGTGAGAATTGTACAAGTAAGCGCTCGGGTTCTTGCATTCAATGCCACAGCTATTAACAATGAGAGAAAAAGAATAACGATGCATAAAAACGCAGGGTACAGTGTTGGCCAAAGTATTATAAACTTAGAGATTTCATCATGGTTCAATCTCAGACAACAGGCTTTGGCAAGTTTAGAAGAGCACCAGACACCGGTGTTTCGACCTTCTGGGACTCGTCAGTGGTTCGCCATCCATCGGACCCCTGCCGGGTTCCAACTCCATGACTTCCGGTTACCAGCAGCTAGTGCCACGCCACATCTCATTGCACTGAGGATGCCGCCTCGCATAGTGGTGAAACGTTTGCAACCAAACCGCCAAGCTAGGAGAACAAATGAACAATTGAACCATCAACCAGAGCTATCAGTCTTCCGAAACATTTTGAGCTTTATGTTCGTAGGGAGTTTCGAGAAAAATTGTGCCAGCATTGCTTTGATATTTCCAACAGCCTTTCTGTTGCATTTTAGGTGGTTTTCATTAATGTGTGTATCATCCGATGCTATGACCTGCAATCTCTATATGGCCCGCGATTAGCTGGAGAACAGATGAGGAAAGACTGTACCGCCCAACGAGTCAAGCGTCTCACTCAGGTCATAACACGGAGTGTTATGAGCATCTAAAGAACTGGTCGGCTCCACATCGTCCATGGCAACATGAACCAGCAGTAGTGCAAAACATTACTAGAGCACCAACTGATCCCTAGGCTGTGAATGGGAAAAGAAAAAAGGATTTACAAAGACAAGAGACTTCATTTTCATGCATGACAGTGCCTCATGTCACAAGGGACGTGAAGTAATTCGTTTTCTTGAGGGTTGTGATATTGAAGTGTTACCATGGCCTGGTAATAGCACTGACATGAATCCAATAGAGAACTTATGGGCAATTTTAAAGTCAGAGATGGAGAAAAAAATATTACAAATAAACACCAGCTCATTGGAGAAATTATAGCGACCTGGGCACACAGTGAAAACATGACTGAACATTGCAAAAAGAACTCGTTCACTCTATGCCTTTGCGTGTTAACTCCTTGAAAAGTGCCAAGGAATCATTTACAAAATACGGACCTTGATGAATTGCTAATCAATATATGTTTTTTTTGGAAAATTGAAACGTCTGATTTGTAAGAAAAATGTGAAGAAATATAGAGTTTGTTGAATTCTACAAATTTATAATAATTTGGCCAACACTACCCTACTTACTCGTCGTGATAAGTGTACATGACATATACATTTGGTTTCCACTGCCCCCCCATGATGCGCCACATTCTTATCCGTGTACTGTTGCACGGTTCGAGGTTTTAGGAAAGATGGTCCCCAATAAGCACTATAAGGGCGCGGTGGCCACTGCCTCTTTAGTTGAAATATGGATGTTTTTAAGTTAGCTCGTACCGACAATTTGCCGACACGGGATACTGCGGGGTGGTCCACAAAAACGCAGGGTTGCTTCGGTGACCTGTAAGCCAGACGAGTGAACCGCTCGACTACTGACAAGATGTGAAGCAGAATAGGGGATGAAATAAGGCATTGAAGATCATGAGGAAGCCCTCTCGTCACGGTCACCTTGTTTTCGAACTATGGCTAGATGATGTTATAAATTATTGACTAAATGTGAGCGTACAGCAGACAGATTTTTACAGCATGTCCTCTTTGCTATCGTCTTAGCAATCTACATAACTAAGGTCAGCATTATTTTACGTAAGAGAAGTAGCAGTTGCGGTTGTTCGTATTGATGAGTCCGTTGTAAGCACGCACTGGAGTTCAAATCACCGAAAAATTGATGGAGATAATCATTTCTATTTTTAAGTCAGCGAGACTAGAGCCACGTGAGTGCATAAACAGAGATCAAAAGAGCCGCAGATTGGTAGGGCCGACAAATGACATGTGCCCGTTTTAACCAAGTGCGTTGGATTTCTGTCCGTTAACAACAAATGCAAGGCCTTAATCGGCACAACCACTTAGAGATAAGTCATTGGTATATACTAAGCTTGGAAAGTACGCTAAGAAGCGACGAACTCAGTCCAAAATCTTCTAATAATGTTACCAACAGAGCAGCAAGCATGAAGTAAAAGAATAAATATATCGGCTTGAAAACATATAAGGATTTAGAAACAAGTATGCGACTGTCAAGTGTTGGAAAATGTAAATTCTCTGTAGCAGGCAGATAATAGACAGGTTAAAATGCTCACCGAATTAGTATTTCCAGGTTTAGTAGTATCACATTCGATTGATTTAGACAGACGAGTGAAACGCAATAACCTGGGAGAGAAGCGACTGCGATCCAAAAACTTTTTCAAACTGTAACGGTCCTTTTTGAAATTCGACTCAAGCTCCGAAATATGTCCACTCATCCTTACGTTCTTTATAGGCATGGTAAGCGCCGATAACCAAAAGGCCCAGTCACATCTACTGTCGAATGCTCCGGATGCGCAAGTTTCAGAATCTAGATTGCGTAAATAACAACGAATATAAGCAATAGGGGGTTAGAAAAGATTAAGAGCCCACCAGCAGTGAAGTCAAGAGCGCAAGCTCTGTCAGCAGTTATTCTCACCGCTAGATTGACAGTTGAGAAATGAAAAAGGATGTTGAAAATCCTTGGTGGTAAGTTTAAATGATGGCTGCATGAAGGCCGCAGATAAGTGAGTGAGGAGTGTCCAGAAGGACGACGAAGCGTGATAGAGTGATTCGGGCATCTGAATGGAAACATTTGCACCCCGTGTGAGTCAATGCACGGATACAGATTTATGTGACCTGGTAGAGTCTTAGTCCGGGGATAACCGTTTACATTTGGGTAGCAGTGAGGCGGGAGCACAAACACTGGCATACTGATAAAATCCGCTTTGTCTCATTCAGAAGGAATGGCTACTTTGCATTTGAAAGCAGACATTTCTAGTAACAACACAGAAGACTGAGGGATAGAGTAGTGCTGCGATTCGTATAAAATTGAAAAGGCAAAACTTTTGCGTACCATATGTAGACTGTCGGAAAGAGTGCACCATACCATACCTTGCGCGGCACCACCCAGAGCTGCGCCCATACACCCTATATGCAGTGTGACCCCGAAAGAATAAGAAAGGGAGACGTGAACAGGGGCCACGTTTCATCCAGAGCCAAACCACACTTCTTCAACATGCAAGGCAGCAGCATTCCTGTATGTCTAATTGGGGAATCATGCGTACCAGACGTACACAAGGCGGTGGCTGGGCTGTAAGCCATTCCACAATGGGTAGGACCAATCGTTGAGCGTAGCACGGTCACAAGGACCATGTATCCCATCTTCCCAAGCAACGATCAATTGTCTCTTGGAGCCATTGTAATCGAGGTAGCGGTTTTTAGACAGGAGGCACGTTATCAACAGTAGCATCAAGCGCACCACACCGGAGATGTCAAACAAGAAATACAGATAAAAAAAACAAGCCGTAAATGTGTGACAGAATGACAGAACGGGACAAATGACAAAATGTGTATAAAGTCCGATCTGGTGTAAGGGTGATCTTCGGAAAGCGTACACGTGAGTCAGAAGATGTCAACCGATTAACATCGAGAATGAAAAGAAAAATAAACGCGCAAAAAGTGCGGAGGGTTAGTAGAACTGAGAGAATAACATAGAATCGATTGTCATATCTAGTGGAATGCGGAACAAGCGTGTCAGCCGATCTAGCCCAGATACGGAGAAGAAGTATAATAAATGTAACCTCAACCTCAGCATGTGGTAAGAAATCATCATTACGTCTGCAGTATCACTAGCGCTAATGTGGAAGCCCCAATACTCTTTCCTACCGTCGTATCATAAATGGAAACACAGGCGAAAGGTTCAGATGATGCAATTCCGACGATGATGCTCTCATTAGTTATGAAGCACTTTCCTGCAGGAAAACACCATCAATCCATCATTTTCCCATGCAGAGCGCATGTGCTAGTCACATGAGAGACACAAGCGATGAATGGTCACAGATTACAAACAATAAATGGCGCAGATCGTTACAACTGGATATACATCAAACCTGAGAAACGATCGTACATGTCTTTTGGGACCTGTGGCAAAGTCTATCAACTTCGTTGCTTACCTTTTTGAGCGTCTGGCGTCCCCTAGTTTCAAAGAACTACAGATGAAATAATCACAAAAAGCGTGACCGATACATATGACACCGACTTCACCGTTCGTGGAAAAGATTCTGTTGAACATCGACAGAATTCGGATCGCTTTTTGAACGTCGGTTCAAAGCATGGTATCAGCTGTAATGAGAAAAAAGCGTGTTCAGGACCGCGTACGGTAAGATTCTAAGGTATGAAATCTTGAGACAACTAATTACGCCCGATCCAGAGAGAATGAGGCTTTCACAAGAATTCGCATCCAACCGACAGTAAGGCTAAACAGAAAGTGACAGGCATGTTCGATTACTAGTCCTAATGTAGATCGCAATTCTCTGACAAGACCAGCCAACTGGTTCACAGCACAAAATCTCATATGGTACCACCAGTCCAAACGTTCTTTCAGGATTCAAAGGAATAATTGAAGAGTGCCGCATTTACCTCCAATGACCCTTATGTAACTTAACTAGTTAAAACAGATGCAGGCCAAAACGGAAAATTAACGGTCAACCTTTTCCCACACCAAACCTTTGATTGAGAAACGACATTCATATATATATATATATATATATATATATATATATATATATATATATATATATATATATATATAGGAATGTGTTCTCAACTAAGGTTTGGTGTGGGAAAAGGTTGATCGTTAATTTTCCGTTTTGGCCTGCATCTGTTTTAACTAGTTAAGTTACATAAGGATCATTGGAGGTAAATGGGGCACTCTTCAATTATTCCGCGGCTCGCTAATGGTGAATGCCGGTCATTTACGATAGTTGTCCCCGCCATCAAATGCTTAGCGGAATGGCGTGTGTGTGCGAGTGCAGACACATTAATTTCTCTCTAACCTTAGTGGTGAGGGCATATAGCATCCTCCTCATACAAGTGGTTTAGTTCAGGCATCAGCTGAGTGCAAGCGTAAAACTGGTGAGGTATAGGCCGGCACGCCGGCAGTTCGAGCGAGACAACTAAAGACAGCCACATGACACTGTCCGGCGATCGCTAGCTGTCAGCTAACCTCGCTCTGAAGGCTGAACGCGGAAGGTCGTGGCAAAACGTTCATCGGCCCTCTTCCATCAGAAGTACTGTATATATATAACACACAATCTGTGGTGCACATTGTGTGCCATCGGAATCATGGCTGAATAGGAAAAAAGTATGAATAATAAGAAAAGAGCAACAACAAAAGTTTTTTGTCTAGTTTACCACTCACCGTTTTTGAAATTTTTTTCAGTTTGTTCTTTTTAGAGGGAGGAAGAAGAGACACCGCAACACACCGATGCACACGTCCGCCATTGACATCGATCTTGAGCCATGGCTTCCAAGGTCTTCAGGCAGCAAGTATCCGCATCTCTCGGACCCCAACCAGGTAGTCAACAACAACCGGCCGAGGCCAACTGCTTCGTCAACGTTTTCATGCGGCTTCTCCATGTTGTAGGCTGTCTATCAGACCGTCTCTTCTAGCCCTGTCCAGCAACCGCAAACAACACACGGCGCGGGTAACGCTGGACAGGCATGCGCAATACGTGTCCCAACCACCGCAGTTGATGCAGTGAGATGAGCTCCTCGAGCGAGTGGTTTTCACGTTCCAAAACACGCTGTCTAACTTCCACATTGCTTATGTGGCGCTGCCACACACGGGTAATGGACCGCAGACAGCGGTGCTCGAAGACGGATAGCCTGCACAAGCCATCTTTACGAATTGGCCAGGTCTCGCATCCGTACAACAGTACACCACGAACAGTTGCATAATAGACCCTCCCTTTGATGGAGAGACGAATGTCGTAGCGACGCCACAAGTGCCTCAGCCTAAAAAAAGCGACGGGTGCTCTCGAGATGCGCATCGAAATCTCGCCTCCATCAGCCCCGCCAGCAGTGATGCAACTTCCCAAGTAGACAAAGCTCTCCACAACCCCTAGTGTCTCATCACCAAGAGTGAGTGCTGGCAGAGGCACCTGCCAGTCTTGGAAGAGAGCCTTGCATTCGTATGGCGAAAAGTACATACCATACTTTGATGCTTCAAGCGCCAAGCGGTTTAGTGCAAGTTGCACGACCTGTGGATCGTCACCCAGCAAGACGATATCATTAGCATAGTCCAAATCAACAACTTGACTACCTGGGAGGAGCTCAACGCCAGCATTCAACGAATCGCTCAGAGTGTTCTTCAAGACATCCTCAATGGCAAAGTTGAATAAGAACGGAGAGATAGGGCATCTTTGTCGAACTCCACTGGAGACCATAAAGGTAGGCGTAAGCTTGCCATAAGCCCTAACCCTGCCCGAGGTCAGACTATATAGAGCGCGCAGTATGGAGACGAACTTCTCGGGGACACCATTCCTCAGAAGACAACGCCACAATACTGTACGATCGACAGAATCGAAGACTGCACGGATATCCAGGAACACAGCAATCGTTGGCCTCTGATACACATGGCGGAGCTCGAGGATCTGGCAAAGTGTGAAGATTTGATCAATGCAGCCGCGAGCAGGGCGAAACTCAGCTTGTTCTTCTCGTTGCAACGATTCGCGCGTTGAGGATAGCCTGCGAAGTATGATGGACACCAGCAGCGTGCAAACGACGGGGACTAAACTTATGCCTCTGTAGTTGGAGCAGATAGTGCACAGGCCCTAGATGAAGATGGGGACGACTATCGATTCACTCCAAGATGATGGAACTTTCTCTTTCGACTAAATTTTCGAGAACAAAGCGGTGAGTTCTCGAACCAGCGAAGCGCCACCATATTTAAATAGAGCTGGAGGAAGACCATCAGGGCCGGGAGCTTTATAACGCTTCATGTGCCGGAGCTCCTGCTCGAGTTGCTGGTAAGAAGGAGGATCTGTGGGGGTAGACCACTCGGCCCCAGCGCGAGCGCCAGAGGTAGCAGATGGATCTGGGGGCCAGCAAAACTACGGGCCAAAATGTTCGGCCCATCGCTCCAACCGTCGCTGAAGATTGGTGATTAAGGCGTCATCCTCTTCGCATATTGTTTCACTTATACCAGATCAAACACCTTCGGTGACTCGAATGAGATGGAAAAGTTTTCTGGTATTACCAGAGAGACTAGCAAGCTCCATCTTCCTAGCACGTTCACACCACCAAGCTTCGCGGTCCATTCGCAGACTCCTGCGCAACTCTCGACCAAGGGATTGGCGTTCTTCATGGTGTCTGGAATTCGATGGGATCAAGCGGCGTTTGTCCATCACCGACAAGAAGAAGGCGGAAATCCAATGCTTCGGTGAGTGACGAGCAACTCCACAACTGTCGATACTGGCGAAAACTAAGACATCTTTGATATGCTCCCAGTGCGATTCGAGATCATCATCAAAGAGTGCTTAATCACTATGGACTATTACGGCGACTATTTTGTGGTCAATACACTCACCGCTACCACCAAGGAAGCAGTCATCAATAAGCGTATATGTCAGTTCGTTAGACACGGAATACCGGAGGAACAGATCCCCGACAACCGCCCGCAATTTATAAGTGCTGCGTTCCAGAGCTTCGCGAACAAGTGAGAATTTTCGCATCGACAAACCAGCCCGTAGCATAGCCAGTCTAACGGAAAAGCAGGGGCAGCGGTCAAATAAGCCAAGAGGCTGTTGTCGAAGGCCAGAGCCACTCATGAGGACCCGTATCTAATGCTGTTGGAGATTCGCAATACGCCATTACCGAACATCGGTCTCAACCCGGTACAACATTTGTACAGCAGAAGGACAAGAACCCTAGTGCCTGCGCCTGTTGAACTGCTACATGCTGTTTCGCCATCGCATCAGCAAATGCAAAGGGGGTTAAGAAAACGGATGGCAGATCAGAAACGGTATTACGACCGCGGGACTCGGGCGCTACCCGAGTAATCAGTAAATGAGGTAATGCGGATCCAACCTACACCGGATGTCAGCGAACAATGGAAGAAAGGTGTATTGACTGCGAAAGTCGGAGAAAGATCTTATGAAGTCAGTATTGAAGGGAAGATAATCAGAAGGAACCGAGTGCAGTTGAGGCGACACCAGGAACAAAAAGGTGAACCTGCAGTGATACACTTGACACTTTGCAGATAGGTCACAACGACAGGGGTAGCAAAGACAACGCAGAGCGAAAGAGCATACGGAGTCTTCTACGAAACCGAAGCGGCTGATTCCGAAAAATGGTAGGATGTGATAGGATTGAGCAAGCAGAGGAATGATACGATTTATATGGCGAAGCAAGCGAACATAGCGTTTGATTGGATAGCTACGCATATTTCGTTTACGCGCTGTTTCGCTGGCTGGAGCAGGTTTGTTTAGCTGATTCAAAGAAAGTATCTCATGAATGTAGCAGCGTCATTAGTTATGGGAATGAGTTAGTTATTTACATCGAGTTTCCTACATGTTTGTTACGCTGTCGATTTTGCTGAGCTCTCTTTGCCGTATAAACCGTTTGTCTCTGAAGGACCGAGTTCGGCGACACAAGTAAACAACTCAGCTACCTGTTCGCCATGTCGGTCTTGAAGCTTGAGGACTTCCAGGGTCTCTAACTACCGACTCTCTGTATCTGAAATCCCAACCATGGAGTCGAGAACAACCGACCGAGGCTAACTGTTTAGTCAGCTTTTCCATGTGGGTTCTCCAAGTTGTACGCTGTCCACCGCGCCGTCTCTCCCAGTTCTGTCCAGCAACCACAAACAACGCCCCACGCGGAAGACGATGAGTGGGCACGCGCATGACGGGTCCAAGCCACCGCAGCTAAAGCAGCGGAACGAGCTCCTTGAGCGGGTGACTTCCCTCACCTAAGACACGCTGTCCAACTTCCGCATTGGTTACGTAGTGCAACCACTACACAAGGGCAATGGACCGGAAGCAACGGTGCTCGAAGACAGAGAGCAGGCGCAGGTCAAAAGTACGAACAGGTGAAGTCTCGCAACCGTACGACAGTACAGCGTGGACAGTCACACAATAAACAATCTCAATAACCCGACACAACAACCGTTTCTGCTCAAGTTCGGTCAGAGCGCTGCATGTGTAGCTTCATGCGATGACCGCGACCGGACAATCAAAGACATCAGATGTAAGCAGTAGGTCGTACGGACAATACGCTGCCACAACCACAACCAGCCGCGCGTGGGGTTAAGGATACTGCAAGGGTCGCCCAGACAAGTACGCATGCACGAGCCGTTGACCAACGGGTTGGAACGCAGACGCCTGTCCTTTCGGCCACCAGCAGGCGAGATGAAGTAGCTAAGTCCGGGCCAAGGTTCCCAGTTAAAGTACGGTAAGTAAGGACCAGGTTTACGCAAATTTCCTGATAGCGCATCGAATAGATCCCCAAATTAAATAGGCGCTCAGGGAGACTAATCTAGTAGCAACGCGTAAAACTCTCCAGCAACAATTC